TATATATATATATATATATATATATATATATATATATATATATATATATATGTATATATATAGTAATAATGTTTTGTTCTTTGTTACAGAAAATGCATAATGGATTCGAAATCGGGAGATACTGATTATTTGGCGAATGCATAAATTGATATTAAGAATTTTAACTATTAATTTAATATCCGTATAATAGTCGTTATTTGAGAGAAAAATTTGTCCCACGTAAGATATTCAGATTTGAATTTAGAGTTAGATTGGAGATTTTCTTAAATCATATAGGTTGCGTTCCGTAATACGCATATGCGCGCATTTATCTATCTTGATGTCACATATATTGTAAAAATGCGCGCATATGCGTATTACGGAATCCAACATAGTATATGCGACACATTACATTCGTAATCGCGATTCAACTGAAAAACTCAATGTAAGGCAAATCTCAAATAATACTAATAATACGGGTTTAATATCTGTTTTTACTAATGTCAATTAAACTTTAACTTGAATTTAAGTCCTCTTCAGACAAAAACTTAGACTCAAATTAAATCTAATTGACGTTGGTATACAAAATGAGCACAATACATGCTGTGGCATGCATTGCAAAAGAAGAGCACTTTCTGTTATGACTCGAAAAGTAAGCTTTTACATAATTTATTATATGTTATATTTATATCATTTTGCTTTTGATTTTATGTTCAATTCCTTAAAGTACATTTCCGAGATGATATATATTTAAGGGTTATTTTGTACGAGATTACAGGCCATATTGATGAATATAAGAAGTTCAAACGTTTTTACATGTATAATGGTTTCTAATTTTACATAAACAACTACTAAAAATAGGAATTAGTAATTAATTACTTTCATCATAACAGACACACATGTACGCGCATATGCAAAGTGTCTGACGTTAGGTGAGAAAACGCTTGTGTTACATGTCAAATTGAACACAACAGTTTTATCATTTTGTAAACAACCACGTAAAACTTTAAGTTGTTTAAAGAAGATTAGTGAGAGATCGTATGCGATACATGAGCTGTATGATAGCGATATTTGTTATTGTGTAGATTAGATTAAATTGAACAAGATAATTCTATACCATTTTATAAGCAATTACGTAATATTTTAAGTTATAAATTAAAGAAGATTGGTGAATAATCTTCGCGAGGCGGTGAACGAACTCTATAAAAGCGGTAACTACTCGATTTTTCTATTAGATTTTTCCACTCACCGTTTATGAATTGGCTATGAAATGGAGGGTGAAGTAAAATTTTTTTTTATTTAATTGTTTTAATCAAATCTACAAGCACATCGATGATAGGCATTGCCGTTACAGGGTTATATACCGTATTACACACAATTATTCGCCAAGTTTTTTAAATTAATAACTCAAAATTTTACATGACTGTTTACAAAATGGAAGAGAACTTTTGTGTTCAGGTTTTCCTACTTATTACCAGATACTTTATACATATATATGTATATATTGAGTCACAAAACAGTTTGGACGCATTTCGAGAACTGAAATTGTAGCGCTTCAAGGTGTCAAAATTAAGAAGCACTACTGCATTTGCTTATGAATTGGTTAGGAATGATAATAAAGAATATATTAACATGTCATTCACGTTATCTTACATTTATTTTCATATTTTTTTACTTCGACTCTTGTCATAACCGATCTATACGCAAATGTGTCAGCAATATCTCTCAATTTTGACATCCTGAAGCGTTGCAATTTCAGTGCTCGAAATGCGTCCAAACTTTTTTTTGTAATTCAATGTACGCTGTGTTTCAACACGGTTTAAACATTTTTTCCGATGTAATTCAGAATGCAGTCGATGATCTAACGAGAGAATTTAATTTCTTAAAATTAATTAAGAACAACTTTTCTCATTGGATTACCTGTTGCATTCCAAACTGCATAAAAAACCGTATTGATATCAAGTATATGTATGGACATATCAAATATATGTGCAAGTATGCGTGCAGATTAGGTCTAAAATGTTATAATCTGATATCTTGGAAACTACCAAATGAAAATATATAATATTGGCAGCTATTTTCTTGTCACACATACACAAAAAAGTCTTTTAACCCTTAGAATATATTGGAAGGTGAATTTAGTTAAATGTGAATATATTTGAATAGTGAATATATTTGAATATATTTGATTAGTGAAAACCGTCGCTAATGAAAACTGGCTTAGGGATATAAAGTAGGAGCGATCAGATTATCGGCCATATGGAGCATTAAGCTCTGCGCTGTTTCATACTCTAAGGGTTAAATGTGTCATAATTAAATTTCGGAAATCTTGCGTGGAGGGAAGGTGGAGCTTGAAATTTGAAATGCTACCTATGGAAAAAAATAATGCAATCAGATTCTACACTGACAAATAAGCAATTTTTACTATAAATATGATTTTCTAAAGGAATACAAATAGTTATGGTTTATGAAAACTAGAGATTTATTAAACAGTATCTCTCAATTAACAAATTTAATTACTGAATTAATAATAAATAATGATTAATTAATAATAGTTAATTATAATAAAATATTAAAATAAATTATAATAAAAATAATAATATAAATAAATAATAGAAATATAAAGCTCTTTAAACATATAACATTACATTTAATATTCTTTAAGCCTTTTAAGAATTAGTTACAGAATTTTGTGTGATTAATTTCTTTCTCTGAAGGATAGTAATATCTTATGATATATGCGCCAGGGCCTTTCTTGTCTTTACGTACGTTAAGCAATTTTAACCATCGCTTAATCGATCCTGTATCCCGTTTGTATTAACCTTTACTGGTTACATGGGGTGTACAGCACTCCAATCAATTTTCAATTTCAAATTACGCGCCCTTAACATTCAAAATAGGGTCAGAGGCGCCATCAGCCGTTAGTCAAAACTCCCAACTATACGTTTGAACATTTCGGTTGGCTCGGCAAGGCGTCAGGATGCTTTCAGCAGTCCGTAAAGCAGGAACGTGGTGTAGTACATCCCACTGTGAAGTAACTTTTTTTCAAGACCCATTTATAAACTATTTTTTTCAAAAAATACAGCTATTGAGCAGTAAAGTTTCAGAGTTTTCAGACCTTAATATTATTATTTGAAAGTTTGACGAATTTTTGAAAAAAAAGATTCATTTTTTCGAAACTCTTAATTTAACACTAAATCTAAGTATATGATTTTTTTGTTTTTTTTAACTATTGGAGCATGTTTTTATGATCTTCAAGAATGTGTCAACACCACTAAATAATTTAAAAATGCGGTCTGATTAAAATAGTAATACGAAAATGACATTAGGCTGTGCCACAACCCATGTGACCAACTTGTTACGATTAGGAAGTATGACCAGTAAGGGTTAATAATTTTCAACCCTCAATATTTGACATGACATTAAACAATTTTTGTCCTAAAAAATAATCTTTAATTTTATCTTGTTTTATTATTTGGTTTGGTTTTATTTTATTAAGTGTTCAGGAGATATGTATAAAATTCTAATGTATTTATTTAATCATAGTACAAGACTTAGTACAAAACTTCGTCGTACGTTTGGTAACATACCTAGCAAACACATATGACATAATATAACTATTATATTACTATTATATAACTATTATTATCGTATTAGTAACACACATAATATATATTACTGTTGTATATTATTAATATTGAGGTTACTTAATTTCGTTTTATAACTACTCCAGACAGCACAAAATATTTATAAAACATTTACAAAATATTTATAAACTTTATTTGAATATTTTATAAATATTTACCAAAATATTTCATAAATATTTTTATGATCTTAGCTTCACTAGATCATAAATATTATAAAAATATTGGTAAATGTTTACCTTTATACCAAGCCAGCTCCAAATAATTTCCGAGTAACCTTGATGTTGATTTTGATCTTGAAGGAAGTCAATGCTATTGACCTATATCGGTGCTCATTGTTTATTAACCAAAAAAATTTTAGAAGTTAAACGTAATTTTTGCACACATATGGAAATACGGAAATATTTGCGCATTTTCTATAGTTGCCGAAATATTAATAAAAAAGGTAATACACACACACGCACACTGCTCGTCCGCACAGCGCGCTCGCCCGCCCGCCCGGGCGGGCTCGCGGTGTGTGCATGTGTTCATATTATATTTGAAGTCTTATAAATACATATTTTTTTAATAATATAAACGGCTATATGGCGGTCGCTTATAGTTTCTGAGATATTAATAAAAAAGATGCCTGACTCTAGCTGTATAACTGTATGTAGTTGCTGTGGTCTTGGATCAAGTCCATTGACCAATAATGTCCAGATAACATGCATGTCTAAAAGATGTCGAAAAGATATCTAAAAGATATGCAACATTTTGTTGCATAAGATGTCTTTTAGATATCTTTTCGACATTTTTTAGACATGCATGTTATCTGGGAAGTTTGTATTTGGAATAGCCGAACAGAAACAGAAAGGATGTTTCTCAAACTTCTGTAATTTTCTGTAAAATTCCTAAATATTTCTTCCAATTTTCCAAAGAAAAATTAACATCTCAAAGGCTCTTTCATTATTATTAAAATCAACATCTGCCACGTTTATGGGTTCACAAAAACCGGACCTGCGCAGACCAAGTCTCCGATGCCCTGCGCGGGCAATAAAAAAGAACGTGTTCCAGCGTTTCTAAAGTACCACAATCACATTGCGGATTGCTGATAATTTGCTTATCAAAAAGGTGTTGCGCTATGCGCACGTGATGTGTTCTCAGTCTCATTTTTAATGAGATTATTAGTCTTGCAACTGTCGTTAGAATGGTTCTATCAAATGTATAAAATTTTTAACACAAGGCGTAAAATCTTCTTTGATGCGCGTTCTATAGAAATAACGAAAACCGCGCAACGTAGAAGAATCAGAAAAAAATTGTATTGCACTTTCATTCATCCTTTCTTTTATGATACGTCATATCGTATTGGAAAATAAAACAGACTCATGATGATCGATAACATCGCAGCCACAGGCAGCGTCCTTGGCCATTGCATCTGCGTGCTTATTTCCCTCAATACATGCATGTCCAGGGATCCATATAAAGATAATAGAGAAACTTTGCAAATACAAACATTTGAAAATATCTTTAATCATGTAAACAATCTCATGTTGCTTTTCTTTAGGTTCACATTTGCTAATCGTAGCAATTAGGCTCCGTAAGTCCGTAGCGATGACGACCTTCTGGGATTGCATATTCTCCACGGCTCTCAGTGCGCAACCGCTGTAGCTTCAGCCTCAAAGATGGATAAATCACAGGATAAATTAAATCGGAAAGAAATTGAGGGAGAGGAGGAGAAAACGGAACATCCCCCGCATTTATCTTAGAGCCATCTGTATATATAATACTGTAATCAGAAAAGTTAAAGGTAACCAATAATTTTCTAAAATATGAATTTATTTTTAGAGTAATATCCTCTAAATTATTATTCTTATTCGCCAAGATTCTATCTTTCAAAAGCGAAACATGATAAATGACACATGTGTCCCCAATGTCAGTATTTATCGAGCAAACGAGCAGTAAACGAGCAAATGCAGAACCAAAGTTAAAATCCAAAGGAATAGGTAAATAGGACGTATATATCTGTTGACAAAATTCACCAAAAGTATCGTTAATAAGATAAAAGAAGTGCTCACACCAGAGTGTACATTTAAATTCCTGGTGTATACGGAAGCTGCCAATTCCCTCACGGGATGCTCCATTATGGAAAAACATCTAATCAAATATTTCTTGGCATTCCCCTTCCTCC